TCTTTGATGAAATAATTTCGTCTAGCTTGAAGATATCGTACCAATACATGAAACTAAACCGAACCTTCTCTAAACCTTGCTCGCACAAGCGCCGCCCTGATTCCTTGCCTGGCGCCGCCCATGTCCTTCGTCCAGCGGCTCCGGGGTCCATTCAAACCCACCAGCACCCGACGACACCATCACCTGTCCGCCCCTCCCCCTTCGGACCCCCTTAGACGTCCCTTCCGTCCCCTCCCCCCCCCCCGACCACCTCCCGCCCGGCCGGCCGCCCGAAGATCCTTGAGAAAAGGTTGCGCCCCCAAATTAGAGGTCCTTTGTCGGTGATACCAAGGGCGGACGGCGCGGACGCCCGGCAAAGGACAGGCGCGCGCGGCGCGACCCATCGGCGGTTACCGGCGGGAAGGGCGCACCTGGGGAGAGGGAGGAGGAGGACACATGGGGAGAGGGAGGAGAGAAGGACAGAGGGAGGGAGGAGGGAGGGAACGGGGAGGTTTCTAGGCGGGACGGAGGGTGTTTTAGGCGGGCCGGACGCTCGGAACACCAAAGGCGTGACACGAGGCGGGACAAGGGACGGAGGTAAAATGGGAAGGAAGGCCCACACAAGGCGATAGGAATCATCGGATCCTGGGGCAGCTAAATCTTCATCAAATGTTCTGTATAATCTCACCGACGTTGGTTGTTTGTACAAGGTCCTAACCAGTTACAATGTTTTATATCAAATAGCAGATAAATGGAGGTCCGGAGGCAATTTGCTTTACCGGTTGGATAATGTCCCATAGTAAGCAACACCGTGATAGGCTATGCGGAGAAGTTCTCGGTGAGCTTGTTGATGGCGCTCTCTGTATCTGATGGAAAAATCCGTCATTTATTTGAATAAAACAGGACAGCAGGGGGTTTCATTTGCGATGAATTAATCGAGCACATTTGATGAAAAGTAATCGCTTGTTATCCGTAATGGGATAACACCGTTACCGTAGCACCTCAAACCCCCCACCTCACGTCTAGAACCAGAACACGGAACCATCCACAGCCGTCCAGTCCGGACAGAGATACCAGCTAAACTCTGTCGCCGTGTGCCGCACCCACCGTCAGCGGCCTCTGTCCCGGGTTTTCCCGCTCTGCGGGTCTCGTTCGATCGCGCCGCGGTCCGGTGTGCCGCTCGCCCGGCGTTGGCTAATTACCGACGGAGTTTTCCATGCCACCGCACCACGGAGGCAGAGAGAGAGAGAGAGGGAGAGGGAGGGAGTGGGGAAGAGAGAGCCAGGGAGGAAGTCGAGGGAAGGTAGAGAGAGAATGCGCCAGATAATATGGGAAAACCAGCTCGGAAGAGGAAAAAATGGAAAGTGGAAAAGGAAACGGGAAAACTGAGTTAAAGGAAGAGAGAGAGAGAGAGAGAGAGAGAGAGAGAGAGAGAGAGAGAGAGAGAGAGAGAGAGAGAGAGAGAGAGAGAGAGAGAGAGAGAGAGAGAGAGAGAGAGAGAGAGAGAGAGAGAGCATGAGGAACAGGCTGACATTTGGACCGGTTCACCTTGATAATTCACCCCCTAACCGCACCCTACCCCCGCCCCTCCCCTGTCGGTCAGTTCTGGGGGCGCACGACTGTCCCCTGGCCATGAGACAGCGTTTTATAGTATAATTATCACCTATCCACCGTCCCCAAACATTCATCGCAGACGGAACCGCTCGTTCCGACTGAATCCAGGATTTGTTTTGAATTACAATTGGGTTCGATTTCATATAGCGATGGCCCAATCATGTCGGATAATTCTATCTTTTACAAATCACTCCCGGTCTTTCAGTTAACATGTTGTCTGACCGTTGTATCTCCGTCAAAACTCGTTAAATCATCGGCCGTCAAATGCCTCAATGGGTCAGGTCTTGTCGGCACTGACGTGCTCCTGTGGCGCGCTTTTATGGCGCGTTCCTGTGGCGCGTTTCCATCACGAGCGCGGGCGCGCGCGCCACCCCCGTGCCTCAGCTCTGGGGGCGGGTCAGCTCCGGTTTATTCCCGACTGCGCCATGTCCAAAATCGATGGCATCCTCACGTGCCGCCCCGGTCATCCCCTCTCTCCACCCCCCCCCCCCCCCCCCTCTCTCTCTCTCTCTCTCTCTCTCTCTCTCTCTCTCTCTCTCTCTCTCTCTCTCTCTCTCTCTCTCTCCCGCTCTCCCCTCCCCTCGCCGCCCGTCTGCGCCGCGTGGCCGTCCCGGCGCGCCGCGGCAAAAACGACGCGCCGTGTCAACAACCTGGCGCGCCGGTGCGCCGGATATGGCGCGGCCGGCGCCGCCCGGGTGCGCCACCCGCCACGACCGCGCCACTTTGGTCGGCGCCGACCGCACGCCCGTATTATACAGCTGAATCGACATAATTACGAACGAGAGTTTCGTACAAGCGCCGTGTGTAGTACTACGCTTGACTAAGTCTCTATGAAAAACTGAATGCTCCCACTGTTTTCCAACAGCACGCATTGATTTCCATTGACAAGCCCAAGATTTAATGGTTTGTAATAATTTTGATTCAAATATATAGACAAGTTTCAGCGAGGTCGGAGGGGACCGAAGCCCAACCTACGAGTGACAAGGTTACAATGGCGGGGAAAGCGTTTCAATCAACGATAGTTGTGGTGAATCGAATTCCTTCTTTCACTAATTCAAATATGGAAATAAAATAAGATATTCATCTTGCTCGTCCTACCTGTTACGGAATACGCAAGCTCAATTGGCTTAAGCAGTGGTCATTCAGCGTAACTCATAACAATTCCGTAGGGGATCGCGATTCCACGATATTTTGACAGCGCGACAGCCACTTTTGTGACCAACTGGCCGCAGTGGGAGCCACTCAAACCAGTCCCCTGGGTGGAAACCGTGCGTGTTTATTTACAACTACCTCACTAGACGTCACTTGTGCTTGTCACGGCACCGACCCACCCCCAGCGGGTTCACAACGCTAATCCTTCCCACGGGAGCAAGATCGCGAGGGGTGACCCACGACCTTTTGACCCCAACGGTTCTCCCATGCTGCTACTGAGGCGTAAACATAAACAAAGGACCGGGTCTTCTCGGCCCTCTAGTCTTATGTCGCACCCCTCATGCGAGGCGACGTGTCTTCCGACGCGAGGAAGGCAATTCGTCTTCACTCTTGTCCATGCGACATTCCTTCCCACACCTAGAGAAGGCTGCCATATTGCCTTCGCTAAGACTGCTAGATGCTGAATGTTATGACGGATTGGAGTTATTGATAGGCACAACTGCAGCTTTGCTACTTGTCACAGTAACTGCTTCGGTTCAGGCTGCTCTCACTACATGTAGCATTGAAGCATGACGCAGCTATGTGCTACAGCCAAATGCCTACAGGTATGCCTCCTTTTATGTTAGGTGTATGCGCTACCGCGACTACCGCTCCCGTTTTCACTACAGCTGCTATACGTATGCTGCTATCTACATCAGCTCCTGTGCCGCTACTGTGGCCGTTTTCCAGCATCACGTTCTGGTTCTGCTCTCAGCAGGGTGTCCCCCAAAATAGACAGGCAGCCCGCGCCTCGGCCTGTAAACAGGGACGCTCGGAGGCACCCATGGCCTGCCAACGGCTCGTATTAGTGAATCCCGGCCAAGAGGACCGGTCTTCACCTAAGCAGACCCTCCCACACTCACTGTCTTGGCATTCTCCGTTAGCGCGGACGGCGCGGACGCTTGCGTTCCGCACTGAAATGTCTCGTCTGGCAATGAGGAGCAAATCGATCGAGGTTGTCAGGAGCCGTTATAAGCCCGGAGGCGGTGTGCGTAGCGTTCGCCGCAAGTTGGCCGACCGTTTGTGATCTCCGTGGCGGAATGAGGCGACTATTGGTGGGCGAGCGAGCGGATCTCGTCACGCAGGTGTCGAGAAATGACGGAAGCGATCTTTGAGAGGGTGATAAGATCGGCGTGGAAGACACCCTGCTCCGATTCACGCACAAAGCTACGTGCCATGTGTGGTCGTCATTGAGCCACGTTGTTAAATTTAATGCGCTATTTCGCATGAGGCCATCGTCCCGGTTCATCATCAGCCAAAGTAATCCGGAGATAAGCATGCTGACGAAAATTCATCGATCAGCAATAGCACTGATAGGATCTAGCACCTACCCAGTACCCAAACAAAAACAGGACTTTAGCCACACAAGCGAAGTTTTGATACCAGTCGCTCCTTGGTGCGTTGTGTTCAACTAAGTAAATTACTGGAAGAGTACTACAAAGATACGCCTCTGATACAATTGAGAACTTTGGCGTGTAGGTATCAGGTACGGTCGATGAAAAATTCATAGCACCAAAAGAGGTGTCCCCAGCATCTGCTCCTCCATGAACCCGATGACCTCAATCGAAAATTCCTCCCTCTCTTGTTTCCCCTCGCGTGCCCTTGTCCAAACATACTTGAGCTGATTTCACAAGAGATACACCCAACTCCGACGTTTCGGTTTTATTTCCGTTAAATTCACCACTTCGGGTGGTGTCTGGTGGTTTTGAGGCATGCGAAGAAAAGGGAAAAATTCTTGCTGACTGAATCACGCGCCTTTTTACCTCGAGCACCGTCATACGCCGGACGCTCTTTCCTTGACTGCAGGCTGCTGGTTCCGTGGACGACAGAACTATGGTACGGTACCCGTATTTAACGTGTGGCTAAACACCATGTCACGAACTGAGAAAAGTGGTAAGTGCCCCAAAACCGCAACTATGACCTTCATTCGCACCTGTGCTGCACAAAGCACATAACCTGCACAGCTCGGTAGTTCACGAACCATCGGGAAATTGGAAATCCCAATGAATGAGTGACGGATTGTTTACAGGCATTACGACTTTAATAATTGCATGTTCCGCCTACCGACTAAACAACTAAATACTAATTCTAAATTGGGCCAAAGGGCGACGCAGAGGCGCACTTAACTATAACTGTATAGTTAACTATAACTGTGTCAATAACCCATCGGACCCAAATATAAGGGAAAATGTCACAGCGCCAGTGCTGCCACCTACCTGTCCGTACTGGTCGTTACGGTCTCGAAGGGCGACAACAGAGGCCGTGGCTGTGGCGGTGGCCGTGGCTGCCGCCGCTACCATTGCTGCCGCGTTCAGGTCATTCGGTTGTCCCATGCCAGGGTTATACCCTCTGAAAAGAGAAGAGAATAAACTCGGTTAGAGATGTAACTCATATGTGGAGTGTTGTTGACAGATGCCGGCACATTTTCAAGCAAACTCTAAAGTCGAAAATGCCCAACAGTGATACTACAACACAAGCCGGTAACATCACGTCATAACAATGAGGGAGCCGAAGAAGCTGCAAGCTCTTCAGCCCAAACCGAAACCCCTGAGAGCGTTTTCGTATGTATGAAGGCATGCCGATGTGAGTTCCAAAACACTGAGGTGAGCATCGCGCAATCCTCCCGATACAATAATTCCCTTTGAGCTATGGGTGTTGAATGTAACTTTAAAACATGGCATGCATTTCACATGTACACAGCTCCAACACAACACTACATCAACCCCGGCCGGACTTTCAAACTCGTCCTACACTACAACCAAGCTGGTTTTGAGGACCCCGTTGAACCAGCTTCACCCAATCCAGCCAACCCACCGGCCGGCCGCGCGAGGCCACACCTCTTATCGTCCGTGTCAACAGCGCGCCGATAGCGCCACTGTTGGCCGCACACGTTTGATGCGCGCCGCGACTGCCGCCGTATCGGTGACAGATCTGGCGGACCGGCGACAGTGCTGGTGGACGTCGGCAGGCGTCGGTAGGTAAAACGCGGCGTGCCGTTTGAACATCAAACGCGACACAACTGTGGATAGGGATCTACACCGTTTTCAGGCCCGAGCGCTACTTTCGGCGCAGAAGTTCAAGAAAACAAGCGAGTTCTCGAAATGCTTGTTTTCATCAGCACCGAAAACAGACTCTAACGGTCGTGTTGTAAGGACTCTATCACGAACTCCAAATGTCACAAGTGTTGTCGCCGCGCCAAAGTCTGCAAGATACCGTTGCCGACGCCTGCGCAGCTGGATCGCCCCGAGCGAGTGACATCTGTCCATCGATCCGTCGTGTCGGAACTGGGGGGAGGGGCGAGGGAGGGCCCATCGGCGGTCCGGGTCACCCAGACAGGTGGTGGCACCCCTCCCCTGTTCCACCGTCGACGCCCCCGCTTGGCGCAGTCAGATAGCGGCCGGCAGACGGGGGACGGGGGACCGATAGCAGTTTATGACCCGGGCCGGCCGGGTCAGGGAGGTCGCACAGCCGCGATCTGCAGGGGTCGCGAGGTGGATCAGAGGTCACAGGGTCGGTCAAAGGTCGCGAGGTGGGTCAACGAGCACCCGTTCACTTTCTGCGACGGCGCCTGCATATTCTGCTGACATTTCGGGTTACGTGGCAAGAGGGGTCGTTAAAGTGGGACGTTGCTACCTGTTGGTATACATTAGGTGCACCATCACACCCAGAGCAGATGCAGAAATGAAGTCATCTCCTATCTCTCGCAGATCAACACATCAGGAAACCAATTGTTTTGGCTGCCACGTCAGTGGAGCAAAGCTTCTCGATCACCACTGACACAGCGGAAAATCCAATTCACAACAAAGCATTGACCACACCAACTGAAAACAATCACGAATCACCAATCCTCACGGGATGAAGACGACTCCGTTCCCGAACAATCACGATCACCCCTCGCCTTTTCTCTAAACACGCAGGCATTCGAGGCCCTTGCGAGGTCAACGAGGGAGCGATGTTGCATCATCTTATCAACTACGCATCGGAGCTCTACAACACACCACCTCGACATCCTCCCTGGTGGCGGAGACAGGAAGTTCACGGGATGGTCTACCGCGATGTTCTGCGAGGTTTCGCCCGAGAAGACGTTATTCGATGCAACGCACTGCAGCGTTTGCTCACAAGTGATGCGCGGGGAAGGGGCGTGTCACCACCGCGATTTTTGGAGACGCTGGGTTATCAATTTGAGCTTTAGGGCGCAAAAAGTACGGTAGCCATTTTGCGCCTAAGCATTCGCTGCCGAGTGGCTGGCGAAGATATTCAACAAAGCGTTGGACCACCAAACGGTGTTTACTGGACACTTGAAAATTGAAGTTCGCCCAATTTGCCACAATCGACTATGAACAAGCGAGGCGCTACCGGAAACAAGCACCACGATTATTTGCATTGGAAACGGATGCAGCTGGCAATGACCTAGGATCAATCCTTCCCCTCATGTTTTGTTCATACGTTCTGTTAAAACCCAGCTGATTCACGATTAGTAAGCAAGTCACACACACCCGAACCGTTGGGTGACAGCAAAACAGGCCCAGTATCGCGACAGCAAAACAAGGGGACTCGATGCCCTCACCGCCGTGAAAATCCACTGTCTGGTATCAGGGCGTTCCAGGTAGGTACGATGGGACCCGGTCCCCAGCAAATAACCAAACAAAACATAGGACGGGTCGAAGCTGGATGTTTAACAAATCGACGTGGCACAGCGAGATATCAGTTTAAATACTGATAACCTATCTGGATAACGCTATTTGGAAAGCGCCATGTTGAGGATAACTACGGATAACCCTGCGACCCGTACTAATGTACATATGCTCTGAGAATATACTCGAAAAAATGTACCGAAATTGGCAGATACGGAAAAGCGACCGTTCAATCTCACTTTCGTCAAAGCACGATGCGGCGATTCAGGGTACTTGACAATCCCATCTTTCTTTTGTCACGTCATTAATTGAAGCATGTAACAAGTCAACTACACAATCACGATAGAGATTGACAAGCGATGAGACTAATGACAAACATCAAATCGGCTTACGGCATGTCACCTATGAAAACACAAACGACAACCCAACAAAGCAACCCATCAAACCTATTAGGTAATCAATTTGTCCGAAGGTAAGCCAGTCCTATGCGCCTCAGGCTGGCGATAGCACCAGATCGTGCAGTGACACCGCTGTAAGGAGCGGCCCCTCACCCCTCTGACGTCATCCGAGGCAAGCCATTTGTCCAACGGGACGAGCCAGCAGCTCCGAACGTCTTCGCTGCGCCATTTCGGTCGCTGCAGCCGCTGCCATATCGAGGCAGACAAAGTGCGCTACCTTAGCGGGGCGGCCTAACGAGCGCGCCAGTACCGGGGTCGGCAATCGGCATCACTGCGCAGTACAGCGGTACGAGCTAGTAGCATGACCTAGCCCTGGGCGCATCCTGCAGAGATAACCATCGCACGTCTTCAGCTTCCCGCGCTTCCACACACAAGATCAAAACTCTTTTCACTTTCAACAATCATGTCCAGCATCATAGCCATCTACACCACTATCTAGGCTTGAGTCTCAGCCCGCTGCAATAAAACGACCAATGTCTCCGAAATCTACATATGTCTCTTGACGTGTCATCTATGCCATTGGATCACAAAGATTCACAGTGCATCTTACCATGGTAGGTACCTACTACTCGCCGTACTAACCGCATATTCGTCCACCTTGAGTACAACTTACAGACCCAGAAACGCCAGCGTCTCAGCGCACGCAACCACACACCTACCGCAGAGCCATTTGGGGTGAAACCACTTCAGACGGAAAACCCCAACGCAGGTGACCGCACCCGCAACATCCGCACGAACGTTCCGCAGCAACGGTCCGTAAAGTCCAACAGCGTCGTTCCGCCGACCTCCAAATCACCCTGGTGGTGGTTGTGTTACGAGCACGCACATACCACTAACGGGCGTCAGGAGGTGCCTCATGCCACCGACCTCTGACCTCAGGCAAAGACACCGCTGAGTCAGTATGACCTGGTGTGGTTGATGGAAAGGGGTTTTGAGCTGTAGACATCGCAGCCGTAAAGCCAGGGTCCGGTTCGACGCAGTCGGACGCAAGCGGAGATCCACGAGATCGCGAGTTCGGTGCTGAATTAGGTGCGGGAAAACGTGTCTCTCTCAGCCCGCCCTGATAGCCCGGATTTGTTCGGTGCGTGTTTGAAGTTGCGGTTGGCGCTGACAGCAGCGGCGAGGCTCCACGACCACCCTTGATAAATGTGACGGCTCGGCATGTTTCCCGACCGAAGACATGTCACAATTGCTGACGGATTACCACCCTGTGCGCAAAGGCCGCATGGCGGTGGAGTCAAGCGCCACGCAGTTGACATCCCAAGAAGAAAGGGGATACTAAAGCTGCGCATTGACTATCCCAAGAAATGATGAGCATCCTCGGATCTATCATAACCGATCAGTTTATCATTATGGGGAGGTTTCTCAGAGAATCGTGCTGACCCGACCGATCGAACTCTGATTGGATATCCCTTCGCTCGTCGGTTCGTTGAGCCTATCATGGGCAAAAACAGGCCTTCGGGCTGCGGAATCGAGGGAGACTGTCACCTACATTGGAGACAATTCACGGTAGTCAGATTTCATTCAGCGACCCGCAGACTTCGTGATCAGTGTCCAGAAGCGATTTGTGACCTGACATACGGGCCAGGAGCCAAATAAGCTGACCAAGTGAGCGTTCCATCTATTACCATGCCGTAGATCATCACGTTGGACAATCATCGATGCGCCATATGGACAAACATCGATTTCTATTTAAAATAATTCAATCTCGAGCGCTTCAATCAGATAAAGCTACAACAGTTTGATCCGCCGGAAGTCATAACCCGACTTGCATTGAGCAAGGGTTGAAAGCATTCAGTTTCATCATAAAAGGAGAAAATCTGGCCCGGAACTGAGCTAATTCACGTGATCATGTCTGAACAAGAACAGAGTTCATAACCAAGTGAGACGAATAGAGCACTTCCACCCTAAAACAATGCATCTTCAGAATTCCGTAGCATCTCCTGGTCATGACACATCCTCCAGCAAACCTCAATGGTCCCTAAATCACGACCCCACATAAACAATCACATCACCACAAACGCACCTGTAGTACAGCTCCAGGGTGGGATCTCCAATCCGCCTGTGGGTGTCCAGGGTATCCACGGCACGCGCACCGCTGGCGCAGCACTAGCGCACACCTCTGTCACGCCGGTCACCTACTATACCACTGGCACGCAGCGTGGCGCGCGGGTGGCGGCGGGCGGCGGCGGCGGCGGCGGCGGCGGCGGCGGCGGCGGCGGCGGCGGCGGCGGCGGTTCTCGCCCGCTCTCCGCTG